ACGTAAAAATTACCCAAAGTGGCCTCTGACGTGATATTTCCAAGTGAGGTTAAAAAAACTAAGCCACCAGGTAGAATTTAAAAAAGTTCTTAGGTACAGCAGCAGAGCGGTGAGTGAAACGTGGACAGCCATTCCCGTGGACTTCGATTATTTCAAATTATCTTCGTTCTAATTTGAGGAAAAACGTGTACACATATACCGATATATCCAAGAAAATTATTACATCCATACAAACACATACATCCAAGTGTATTCATACATATACGTACATACAAGCGAGGATACATACACCCAAGCGTATTCATACATATACGTACATATAAGCGAAGATACACATACTGTACATAAACACACACACAAGTGCACACATATACACAACACGCATAAACATACACATACTGTGTGTGTGTGTGTGTGTGTGTGTGTGATTTAGCTGACTTATTACCTAGTCTCTCTCTATCTATTTATTTATTTCATACATAGTCTTTCTTACCTAATTCTTCCTTTCGGTTTTCTTTTCATTTTACTTTATTTTGACTATCTTTCTTTCTCACTTTTCCCTTCTTACTATTTTTTTAACTCTCTTTTACCTTCTTTTCTCTTTTCTTTCTTTCTTACCTTCCTAATTAATTTATCGCTCTCTTTCTTATTCTTTACTTCCTTTCCTCACACTATTAAACAACTCGAACAATAAAGTCAAGCAAGAGCTGCATATTTCTTCTGCTAGTGCTGGCAGGAGGCGGTCTAACGTTCGTCTGGCTAAAGCTTCCATATGGTTTATGATACGGATCTTTGGTATACTGGGTAGATGCCCTCCACATGCACGGCTACTTGAAGGATATAATTCAGGCATTCGTGATCGCTCGTGCTGGCGAAGGTTTGAATGAATCGCCTTTTCAATACAAGTAATCTCCACACGGTTATTTCGAGGAGGAAGATAGGCACTGGTGAACGCTCGTGCTGGCGAAGATTTTATGGCAAGAAACGTTATTCCTGTGTATAGATAATCTTCACATAGCTACTTAAAGGAGAAAGCCAGGCGCTGGTAAATGCTCGTGCTGACGAAGGTTCAAGAGAATGGTGTTTGTATACTCCGCACATCAATTCTCCACAGGACGGCTGTTTCATCACCATTACTCCACCTCTAATCGTCTTTTGTTTTCTGTCAGGGGGAGGGGGTGTCAGCAGGAGGTGAGGTGAGGGGTGTCAGCAAGGGAGGGTATCAGAAGGGGTGTCAGAAGGGGGGGTGGGGGTGTCTGTAGGGGAGGAGGGGTGTCCGTAGAGGAAGGGAGGTGTCCTGAGAAGGAGAGGTGTCTGTAGGGAAGGGAGGGTGTCAGAAGGGGAAGTCAGCAGGAGGTTGTGTGTGAGACTAGCACACCAGATTGCAAACATAGCCCAGCAGGGCCAGGGGGGCGAGGGTGTGACGCTGGCCCTCCCCTGCTGGCTAAGGGAGAAAATAATGTAAGGGGGGAGGTGGGGGGGGGGTAAAACTATTCAACCAAGAAAGGGTGAGGGAGGGAGAGAGGAAGGGTGAGGAAGGGGAAGAAAGAGACGGAGAGGAAGAAAAAGAGGAATGTGAGAAAAGGGGGGAAAAGGGGGACGAAGGAAAGAAGATGAGGAAGGGTAAAGAAAGGGGAGGAAGAAGATAGGAGGAACGATAAACAAAGGGTTGAAGAGAATTTCTAGTGCATTGGAGAGGTATATGCAGAGGGGGGGGGTTAGGTGTGGAGGAATCCTTTTAGTACTGGTAAGGAAGGAAGGAAGGAAGGAAGGAAGGAAGGAGAGAGAGAAATAAGAAGGGAAGGGAACTTAGCTCTACCTCTCATACATAATTATCCATCTTCATATTCACCATCCATTTCCTCCTCTTCCTCCACCCTTTTCCCCTCTAATTTCTTGGAGTCTCCTCCCTCCAATCCTCATCCTCTAGTTCCCTCTCCCCCTCCTCAAGCGCCCCTCTCCCCCCACTCCAGCACCCCTCTCCCCCCCACTCCAGCGCCCCTCGTCCCCTCAGAGTGACGAGGGGACGAGCACTAGCACAATCACATTACGTCAACCATTACTGGTGCATTAGTCTGGGGCGGCGGTGATCTGTCCGTATTACTGTCCCGTCCCGCCCGGCAATGGCTGGTGACGGTGGCCCGGCCTGGGGATGGTGACGGTGGCCTGGCCTGGTGACGGTGGCCCGGTCTGGTGATGGTGACGGTGGCCTGGCCTGGTGACTATGGCCCGGCCTGGTGATAGTGACTGTGACGGTGGCCCGGCCTGGGGTGGTGATGATGGTAATTTAGTCATACACAACTAGCAAACACCAAGTGAGGGTTTACAACATTGGCAGGCTACATACATCTACCATTGGCAGACACAATTAAGGGGAAGGTGACTTCAAGATGAACCACAAGCTGGGGATGAGGTCGTCCCATCAAGCTTGGGAGCCTAACACAATATCATAACTTCTCTATAATCCATCTAGGTATTCCTCCTTCCTCTTACACCTGAAAATTGATGGATAAAGATGGATACAATTTAACCTCTACTGTGTTACACCTTTAATGCATTTCCTTTTCTTAGATTTTGTTTCTTATTTACGTATTTCAGTCACTTCTCGTTCTCCCTCTCATCTCTCTCCTCTCTCTTAGCATTCCATTGGGTATACACTCTTACCCCTCTCCTCTCCCTCTCTCCTCTTTACACACACACACACACACACACCCCTGCACACACACACACACACACACACACACACACACACACACACACACACACACACACACACACACACACACACACACACACACACACACACACACACACACACACACACACACACACACACACACACACACACACACACACACACACACACACACACACACACACACACACACACACACACACACACACACACACACACACACACACACACACACACACACACACACACACACACACACACACACACACACACACACACACACACACACACACACACACACACACACACACACACACACACACACACACACACACACACACACACACACACACACACACACACACACACACACACACACACACACACCTCCCCCAAAGCATCACTTTAATCAGTAACAAAGCGGAGGGGTAGCTCCCAGGTGGGCAGTTACCCGTGTAGCGTGTGTCTGGCCTGTGAGGGAGGGAGGGAGGGAGAGCGAGAGAAAGGGAGAGGGAGAGAGAGAGGGGGAGTGAGGGATGGATGGAGGGAGGGAGGAAGGAAGGGAAAGCTGGAGGAGGAAGAGGGGAAAAGGTAAGGTAATACTACATTAGGTTGGATGTGGTTATACTAGGAAAGGTAAGGTTAGGTTAGGTTACGTATAGGTTGGGTTGGGTTAAGTCAAGTTGGGTTGGAGTTCGGTTAGATTAGGTTGGGTTTTAAGTTACGATGGGTTTGGTTAAGTTAAGCTGGGTTGGGTTAGTTTGGGTTGGAATTGGTTAGGTTAGGGTCGACAGATCAGAAATGGTGAGGCCTAGCAAGATAAGGCCAAAAAATATCCCAACATTTAACACTCGGGTCGGGAAAAAAACTAAACAATACCTTCCAATCTCACCAGCTGACGCTCCCCACGCCCTCCCACCAGCCCGCCCACCCACCCACACCCACCCATTACATCACGTAACTGCTACATTACACGCCCACGGTGAAATCCTCCCACCTGGATGAATGACACTAGAGGGACCACAACACACTACACCCAGGAGTATTCTGAATAAAAGTCCACATCAGTGTACCGCCTCGTCAGCGTGGTGCACTGTAGGTGGTGAGACAGATTGTTGGTGCTCTTCGTGGGATGGTGAGGGACATCAGTCACACACACACACACACACACACACTAAGGAGCGTCATCCCTTCATGAAATATTCGGCAGGGACCAGCTTCCCTCCCTGCCTGGTGACAACTGTGACGTGAATGTCAACAAGGCTCTACGTCGTGCTCTGAAGCCGTAATGTCGTCCGAGTACTTGTCTCTTGTCTTAACCCCTTGATGACGGTGACTTAACCCCTTGAGGGCGGTGACTTAACCCCTTGATGACGGTGACTTAACCCCTTGAGGGCGGTGACTTAACCCCTTGAGGACGGTGACTTAACTCCCTGCATTAAATGACTGAACTCCCCGAATACGATGACTTAACCCCTTGAGTACAACTACAACATTAACCACTGCCCCCCCATGCCTCAACACCTACTAGAAGACAAACGTTAATGCCGGGAACAACTGAGAATGACGACTAACCAAACAACATTCTAACCAAGCCTCAGCAAAGATTGAACCAGTTGTAGTTGATGAAAAGAAGGTTAAGAATGTTGTAAAAAGAACCCATCATAAACAAGTGAATAAATGAATGATACATAAGCAAACAAATGACTTAATGAATAATGTATATGTATGGCGAATTATTTCTTTCGTCAGTGTTCTATTAATTTCGTATTATGAAAGTCTTTGTGTGTGTTAGTTGACCCACCAACCAATATTCTGTAAGTGGCGTCATAATTATGTACAGTGATCCTGAGTATTAGTTGTGTGTTGTTATAACTGTATCTTTATCTGTACAGTCTTCTCTGAATTAATATAATGAAAAGTAATGAATCTTGTGGTATTAACTAACAGAAGTTTCAGATTAGGGGTTCCATGTGGGCACGGTGCTGTGTGTGTGTGAGGGCGACGTTTGTAGTAAGTACCCTATACGTGCTTCTATACATAATCTCGAAAAATAAAGGAAGAGGATGGCGCTGTACACAGATCAGGTGGTTTTTGTGGGGTTATACTACTTGTTATGCAGCGACCTTTGTCCACCACAGAGTCTGGTTAAGGGAAGTAAACAACTAAGAATTTATCATAATTGGGTTAGTATCTGACGAGAGTTGTCTCAGTGTGTAGTGTATGATGTGTCTCAGGCTGCCTCTCCTAGTGCCGCGTTTACGACTATCTTCTGACCTTTATGAACGACCTTATGACCTTTTACCCTGCGGGTGCCAGTGCCAGGGGACACGAGTAAATCTCTCTTAGTGCCAGTAAACTCGAGGGTGCCACCACGTGTTGCTTACAGGCAGGATCCCCCGGGGCTTCCACGCCCACTCCTAATGCCCGATGTTGCTGCAACCAAGTGTTGGTGTCACGGGCTATAGCTGACAACCGATATTGGTGACACAGAGTACAGGTGACACTGGACGTAGGCAGCAATGGCCATGTGTGATAGTGGGTATACTTGACACCCAGCATGGGTGACACAGGATACATCTGGCACTGGGGGCAGGAAGGGGAGGATGTGAGGGTTTGATATCACGTTATATCAGGCGCTGGTTGTGGTGTCGCGTGACCCACGCCTCCTCCCCCTCCCTGCACATGCCGCACGCCATGCCTCTCCTGCCGCCCGCCGCGGCCGGCATTGCCGCCACCGTCGTCAAACATCGCCATGGTCGCTCCTGCCACCTTGTGTACGGTGGTGGGCCGGGTGAAGTGTACAGTCACACACAAGTCACACCTACTGTCCTCTCTGCCAACACCAGGTTTTATGATTCCGTGTTTGATCATAAAAGCTGGTCACCTTAACCCAGAATTTCTCAAATTTCACCTACACGGAAAATATATTTATAAAAAAGAAGACAATTTTCCGAAATCTCTGTTTTTCATCGTCTCATTACACAGAAAAAGAGAGCATTTACTTAATAATAGCGACGGTTTTAAAATATGAGACACAAAATAATTATAAAGTTTAATTTTAATTTGCGAAAATTTAAATCCTCGATTTCCTATTTTTTAAAAGCATTGTTGATAGTGAAACGTTGAGGGAAAATAACAAGCAAGAGGTGAACGAAGCAATAATAATACCTACTAATAGTCTTTATATATATATATATATATATATATATATATATATATATATATATATATATATATATATATATATATATATATATATATATATATATATATGAATTTAAAAAATTAATAACAACTAATAGTACAGAAACAGTACCAACTTCCTGAATAACAACGAATAACTAAACAAATATTATGAAAAATAAAATAAAATAGTTATAATACATAAATACTGCTACTAATACTTTATAAAAGTGAAACAACAACAACAATAATAAAAATAATAATAATAATAATAATAATAATAATAATAATAATAATAATAATAATAATAATAATAATAATAATAATAATAATAATAATAATAATAACAATAATAATAATATTATTATTATTGTTTAGAAGATGAAACAGTGAAAAAGAAAAGATAAAGTTACACCAGAGAGGAGATGAGAGAAGGACGGATACGAAGAAACAAAAGAGAAGCTATAAAAGAGAGGGTGAGGGAGAATAAGGAAAGATTAAAGGGGAAAATATGAGACAGGAATAAGGGGAGAAGAGGAACAAGACGATAAAAAATAAAGAGAGAGAGAGAGAGAGAGAGTGGGGGGGGAAGGCTGCAAAAATTTGATTATAAACATTACCCCCATCACATTACGCTACCCTAGGAACAACACACACACTAACTCTATTATCACACAAGCTCTCAGGCGAAGGATGGAGGGAGGGAAGTCGAGGAAGTGGTGTGGTAGGTGGAAAGGAGGGAGGGAGCAAGGGTGTAGGAAGGGAGGGAGGGAGGGAGAGTACACGTGTCATGAGAGAAACATCGACGATTAATCTCAAATAATCAAGTTAGCTGTCCCACCCTTCTTCCCTCCCCCCACACCTCCCCTCTCCTCCCACTCAAACCACTCCTTCATCTTTTCCCTCCCTCCCACCCCCACTCAAACCACTTCTTCCATCTTTTCCTCCTCCCCACCCCCACTCAAACCACTCCTTCATCTTTCCCTCCTCCCACCCCACTCATACCACACTCCTTCCATCTATCCCTCCTCCCACCCCACTCAAACCACTCATCTTCCTCCCTCCCACCCCACTCAAAACCACTCCTTCATCTATCCCTCCCTCCCACCCCACCAAACCACTCCATCTTTCCATCCCTCTCATACCCCTACTCCCCCTTCCTCTCTCTCCTCCCTCCCACACCCCCACTCCCCCTTCCTCTTTTCTCCCCCCTCCCCACACCCATAATCTCTTTCCCCCACACCCCCCCTTTCGTTTCTCCCTCCCTCCACACACCCCTCCCACACCTACACCCCCTAGTACGTTCCCATCTCCACACCCCACCCACCCCCATACACCCTTGGTTCCTTTCTTCCCTGCAAGTAATTCCCAGAAGGTGTGTCTTGTTTGTGTCTAAGATAATTATTCCCCATCATCTTGTACCTGCTGTTCTATAGGTATTTGTATCTGTACTGTAGCTTTGTAATGAATACCGGTATTTGTAACTGTTCACCTGAATATGTACCTTTATCTGTACCTATAGCTGCATCCGTACCTGGAGGTTGTAATTGAGCCAGTATTGTTGGTGCTGAATTAACAAAAAAGATACAAATAAGCAAGAATGAAGCGACACACACACACACGCACGCACACACACGCACACACACACACACACACACACACACACACACACACACACACACGTATTGTCTTACTTTCACTCACATCAAGCGTATATTATTTATTCTTCCGAAGTTAGGGATTAATAACATAAACTCACCAAGACTCCAAATACTTCCAGTCTGGTTATAACATATAGTATTACAATGATCAACACGTGTATAATAACCACTTGTATTCATATGTAAAAAAAAAAAATCATTGTTGTCGGATATTGAACATTTTAACATAACAGTATTAATATATCACTAACCATTAAGAATTATGTTTGTTAATTTATGTTATTTGATTCATCTATTGATAATTCTACTTTTCATATTCTGAGATATAATAAATTACATTGTTTCATCGTGTAATATGGAACAAGATACAAATGTAGAATTTATTACGGCTTTATAGTGATTTTATAGTGTGTTTTCGGAAGGCTTAATAGTTCACATCAACAGTACAGCTCAAACGGGACCTAAAATTGACCTATACATTACAGTCACAGTGGAGAAGAGCGCCATCTACGTGTTAAGGTATAGAAACTCAATACTGGCTGGGGATTTTCGGCGAACATTTCATCGCGATTGTACATATTTCTACTAGTTATTCTTATCGTCTCTTTCACTCTGCGCTTCATCTCTTCTCTCTGGTTTGGACGATAAGTGTGTATGTGAGTTCTCTTTTTTATCTCCTGTGTTCTCTCTCCTCTACTATGACGGAGACCTGGACGAGGAGACGTTGGTTCGAGAGAGAGAGAGAGAGAGAGAGAGAGAGAGAGAGAGAGAGAGAGAGAGAGAGAGAGAGAGAGAGAGAGAGAGAGAGAGAGAGAGAGAGAGAGAGCCTGGCCACTCAACACAGCCAGACACTCCACCACTGGCAGTTTCGGTTTAATTGATTGTATCTTGTTGATAGAGCACAGGTACCCAGGCTATCCGATAACGCCAGTGCCAGCCAGCCAGCCCCTTCACACATGACTCATCCTAGCTAGGCCATTCACCCTCACTCACTATACCCGGGTTAGTTAGTTGGCTGTTTAGTCAGTTCCATCCGCCTGTCTGTCTGTCTGTCTGTCTCTGCAAGGTAACTCTGATAACGCCAGCACGATCGCACCCACTTCACACTCCTGATGGTGATTGGTTCTGACGTTCTCCGGGTCATGTCATGTTTGAGAGGGAAATAAAGGTCAAAGGTCAAGATGATTGAATAAACTAGGCGTGGGTCAGTAAAAGCTGATAAGGTCGATCTTAAATAACTTGTGGATAAACTTTGGGTAATATATTGAAATTCATATATAAACTTCTGGTCATTGCTCGTCAGACTCATAAAGGCTACATAACTAGAAAATTTTGGTATATCTCTGTTTTGACATTTTTTTTTCTATATACATCAGTTATTGCTATCAATTTATGTTATATTAATTTGTTTATGACAAATGTTTATCCTGGAGAACGTTAAACACATCCACATTTGTTCCTCCATGCCAGTGTTTACACTTGAGTCGGCCGCCATGTTCCCTTCACACGTCTCGGGCTGGACATCCATCTACTGGACGTGTTTATGTACCGCTTATCACACCACCACCACGACGCTCACAGCTGCTCTCGTTCACCCCAGTATCATCATCAACAACTCATCGCTGTTATTATCAATAAATTACTACGAATCGCAAGGTCATTATAACACCTGCATCATCAGTGTATATTTTCACTGGGTTGTTAAACAGGTCAGGAAGTTAAGTAATAAGTATTGCTCTTTGCAGATATATATATATATATATATATATATATATATATATATATATATATATATATATATATATATATATATATATATATATAGTATATGTGAGAAGATTAAATTACGTATTATATTTTCTGACTTGGATCAGTAGGTTGTATATTTAGTTTACATTCGCAACATCGACACACCTGTGGAGTGGTGTGTATATATATATATATATATATATATATATATATATATATATATATATATATATATATATATATATATATATATATATATATATATATGCACATAATATATACACATCTATTTGTTTATATAAGTAACAAACATCTGTGGTTTATATACGCAAAATATACACATATGTGGTTTGGCCAAGATATATTACCGTAGTTAAATTATATTGAATAAAACACAAATCCATCTTAGACTCGAGGCCTTAAATGATGGTCAGTAACTGCACTAACTGGCCAATCGAAATTACAAATTATATCTAGTAAGGAGATTACTGCTGTCTATTTACGATAAAGGAACACCACATAAACACTGACGACCATGCACTCCCTCTGTGGGTGTACAAGAGAGAGTATATGTGTATGATGGCTGCGTGTATGTATCTGTGTGTATGATGACTGTGTACGTGTGATGAGAGAGAGAGAGCCAACACACCACCAACTGCCCGGGTGTGTCACTTGGTCGCCCGGAAATACTGGTTGACAGCTTGTTTTCCTGGGCCCCTCGAGGTAATGAAGAGACCAAACTAACTACCAGCCGAGCCCCCTCCCCCACCCCCCTTACCTCCCACGGGACCCCTACATTCCCTAAAATCCCTCTCCTCCCTCCCTCCCTCCCACTCCCTCACTCAAAATAATACCTCCGCTAGCTTCCAATTTTAAAATATTTATTTAGCTGACGTTAAGATACGACTAAAAATATTTATTTCAATCCGGTAATCTTTCACTCCAAAATTTGTCTTGGTTATTCATTTGGTTATAACCCAACAAATTTATTCTAAACCTCTAAATATTTCACTACAAAATCACTCTTAACAAATTTATTTTACCTACAGCTATACTGTACACCTACACCTCCTCCTCCTCCTCCTCCTCCACCGCTACTTCGTCCTCCACCACCACTACCTCCTTCACCACCACCGTCTCCCTCCACTACCACCTAGTCCT